CGTAAAAAAGCGATCCGTTTTACCGGGCCTTCTGCGGCCGGCAGTTTTTATACGAAGTCATTCGTTCGGAGCGGACACCACATTAAAATTTGCGATGTAACTTTTCTCTCTTTCTCTCTCTCGCGTGTCGAGTAAAATCGGCCGTGACTCATATAACTCGATTCCCGGGTGAAGAAAAAGATATTTTCTCGTTTTTCCATCGACGCGCGCGGCAATCGACATCCGCGACGATTTTCTGCCGTCTCATGTCGCTTTTGCGAGTCAACAATTTCGTTGAACGTCACGTCAGAGAGACAAATTGTGCAAAAAGAAACGTTTCCTGCAGTGTATACACGTGGCGGATTAATCGAAGAATCGAACTACGATCGCGCGACGCGGACGGGTTTAAACGAGGCGACAAACGAGTTCACTTTTCGACGATTTTTGTTGCATATAACCTGCACCTGTAGAAAACAATTTACTGGTATAACGCAAATTTGTCGGTGAAACAATTTCATTGGACGCGGCACAAAGGTTCGCTGCGGTGCGAAACAATACGAGGAATACCTACGCCGCTATCGGATTATTCGACGTTTTCATTAGCCATTGACATCGCCGCGTAAAATATCGATTCGCCCGTTTCTACGAACGGCAGCGGATTTCTCTGCTCCGTGCATTAATATTAATTTTCGAGCTTTTACATTCCCCCTCGCCATTCGGCACACTCGTAACGTAGATTAATTGAGAAAGCCTGTTACCGAGGAGCGAGACAGTGGTTATTAATGGCATAACAAAATATCGAGCGGACGCCGCGCGCCGCCAGGCCTTCGAAACCCGACAAATATAAGACGCGAAAACTTCCGAGGCGCGCGCGAACGAAAGACGCGGCCGAGATTTATGGTCGCTCTCGCTATACAGAAACATTGTTTCTGATGGGAGGAGGAAAAGAGAGGGGGAGACAGGGGGACGATTTTGCGTTATCCGGTTAATGGCGGGTCGAAGAAAGTGTGCGTCGCTTCCACGATGTTTACCAAATTACAAGGGATTAATCAGCATCAGCGCGATTAATTGCATCGGCATTCGGCCGACGCGGCGCACGAAGATATTTCATTTCGATGAAAGGGGGCGCGAGTTTTTGTCCAATATCGAGAGAGAGAGAGAGAGAGAGAGAGAGAGAGAGAGAGAGAGAGAGCGCTCCGAGTTTCCCATTCGCCCGAAGAAACCTGTCATTAACGTAACGAACGATTCTTGTTGTTCACCGCGGCGAAAGCGTTTATTTCCAACGTGGCACTAAATCTAAGCTTGCTTTAGGGAAGCGGGGCGCGGTAACAGCGGTACAGCTCGAGGAAACAATCCGACGTTTTCTTTTGCTCGTGGTCCGAGCGTAAGCCGATGCCCCGAAGCCACTAATCACAAAGGAATTACTCGTCGGAAAAAGCCCCCTTTAGCCGCGCGAGGATTGTAACCGCGGCGCCACGCTGGATATCCGATTCTTTCGATTCGCCGTGAAACGAGTCGCGTCCTTAATTCATCATTTATAGGCGCGAAACGTTACGCGCGATCGTCGCACGCCGCGCCGCACGCGGGCAACTGATGGGCTGCATTCGACGTACGTTCGTCGCGACTCATTGATTTACGAGCGGTCGTAAAGCGTACTGCCACTTGCGTAACAGCACAAGTCTCGAAACGGTCGCGAGTATAAGCAATGCTCTCTGGTGCAGGAGCTTCTCGGAACAAGTTAGAGGAATTGTCAAAGGCGATGGCTCGTCGAGACAAACGGAGTCGGGGACGCAGCGCGAGGCGCGGAGGTCAGGACGGCGGTCGCCGCTTAAGTGCCTCGTATTTGGCCTCGACGTACGAGACCGCTTCGTTCCGGAGGGTTCGCGCTCCTCTCGTAACTCCGGCCGAAAGCAATAGCCGCCCCCCCCCCCTGCGAAATACATTACATGCCCAGTTTACAACGAACGCGAAACGCGAGTCGCGGCGGATTGCACCGGGGCCCCTCTTCCCTCCCCTCCTTTTCCCGTGCGCGCATAGACATCTCGGAATGAAACAAGTCGCGTCCTCCTCCGTAATCCTAAATCCGCGACCTGAACTGCGAACTACGATGCCCATTCCAGACGGACCCTTATTGCGAGTCGCGAGATATATCTGTTGATTGGTTCGGCCGACCGATTTCGCGCGCTATCGGCTGACATTATCGTACACATAGGCCACGGCGGATCGACGTCTCGGAGTGGAGGGCATGCTTGATTCATGGACACGCGATATTGTTCTCGATCGTGTCGCCACAATGTTCGCCGATGTTTCCGGCCAGCGTTTAGTACCTCGGCCGAATGGATGTCGACCCAAATCGGGAGAGCTAAATTACACCATGTGTCCACATCCGCGGGTACGAGAGATTTGTGGTTTGGAAAAAGCGAGGAGAAACGCCGAGGAGACGACTCCGAAAAACTGGGCCATTTCGAGGGAAAAGATAAAAACACGAAACTTGATAAACAGTAATATAGCTCGACGTGCAAAGTGGTCTCGATAATTTGGCGAATTGCAAACTTTCGTTTAACGAACGTCTTCATTTTTGTCGCGCGATACGCGACAAAAGTTCTCCTCCGCGGCAAAAGTTATCTAATCACCCACTCTACCCTCGGAGGCAAGATTTATCTGTTATAATCGAAAATTTTACTACAGTATTTTAACTTTCAGTTCCCGTGAGCGAGGGGAAAGAATATATAAGCTCCATATCTCCTGTATAAAAAAATGGTCCCGTTCCTGTTAAGAATATCCTTGCTTTTCTCTTTTATCTTTAAAATTTTCCTTTCTCATTAGTGCAGAACCGCCGAGGGAGCGCCGCAAGTTTAACGTTCAGGTAAATAGAGCCCCGAAGAAAAGCGGGGGTAATGTACAAGCAATACGGTAAATGGCGTAAGCAACCGAACCGAGCAGCGTCGGGGGCGCCACGCTAACCGATAATTGCGTCTTTCGTTCTCCGGGTACCTACTCACGACGATCTCCCGCGCGACCTACCGCAACGATATATTTCGGAACGACGACGGTGCCACTTACACGAGTGGCGGCGTTCTCCATCCTGCTCGGATTCCCCGGCGTCGACGTTCGCCGCTCGTCGAACGAGACGAACCACGTCGGACCTCTTCGCTCTACCGTGGCCCGTAAAACCCTGTGAGGAAAGAGCAACGCGAGACCAACGCAGCCCGCCAACGTCTTGCGGCGAGACGCTGGAAACATTAGAAAGCACGATGGAAAATAGCCAAGTTTAACCCCATCAACGTCTATGACATATGTATTATGCAAAATGTCTCTGGTTTCCTCCGCATTTTCTCTCCGTCCGCGGACGGCGCGGTGAGTAATTTAAAGGCGATTGTTCCTGTAGGAAAAAATTAATTCGCGACTTCAGCTTCTCTTTCCCCGCTGCTTTTTAATATTCACTTCGAAATAACTTCTTAACTAGAGCGTTTAGATTAAAGTTTCTGTTCAATTAAAATTAGTTGAAGAATATACGATTTTGCTATCATACCTTTCTCGAAACCTTTTGCAATACGAAATGCTAATATATTATTGCTAATATTACAGTTTATATGGCAGATAAAAGGTTCATTTTATGGATTAAAGTTGTGGAATTAGTAAATTGCATTTTTTTTTCTCTTCAATAACTTTGGTTAGCTACTTCGTACACGGGCATACTGTTACATCGCTTATTTATAGAGTGTATGTAAATTTTACGTATTAATTACCAGCAGAGTCTGTCTCGTAATATCGCTCCACTCTGCTGAAACATTTTATTCATTTTGCAAAGTGTACACATAACTACGGTAATGAAGTCGTATTCATATTCACTCTGTTGGGTAGTATATTTACGGTCTCGGTAACAGAGAGCAGAAACAATGCAAAAACTACGCCGGTTCGACGGTTGCAAAAACTCGATTTACTTCGCGTTCCACGCTGCAGCTGAAAAAAAAACATACCGCATTATATCTGTTTCATCTCTTTCGGTTTGTCAAAATATCGAATCTTTCCCTTTTTTCCCCTCCTAAATTGAGAAGCAAATACTTTGAAGCATCTGAAGTAAAAATGGCAAGTGCGTACGCAGAGAAAACCCACGTATTTATTTCTACCTGCCATTCATAGAGCCAAAATTCGGGAGGGATGAACGGCAGTCGGGCACACCAGCGAGCACACCGTCGGGGTACCCGAAGGGTTAAAATTGGCGTCTCTCGACGAGCGGGAGGATCCGGATCGCGGAGCGGACCGCCGCGCGCCGCGCCGCTCCGCGCCGGTGATACTCGCGGCGCGTATGTGCGGGCGCGGAATTAGTTCGCGGTGTCGCCACGGGTCACGGCGGCGCTGCACCGTCGACGAGATCCTCAGTCCGTCACGGGGTCGCGAGGGGTACGCACTGCTCTCGTCGGTTTGCCCGTACCCGGGCTCGAACGTCGCGCGACGCGCGAAAAGCACACGCCGCGTGAGAGTGCCCGCGCCGCACTGACCCGGCCCGCGTGCCGATCTTT